GTTTGATCCATTTTGATAGTAAGCTACCTATTCTAGTTTTGGAATTTGGCCAACATTCTTGGTTTTTTGGTAGAAAGCTTAGAGGTAAGTCAGAGAAATTTGTCTAAAAAAAGAAGGAAGAAGTGAATTATGAAGAAAGAATGGATTTTTTAACTTTTATATGCAATAGCAAACAACTTCGTTTTAAAAACCCCTAAATTCGAATGTAACCGAAAGTAGACCCGCATGCCAACCCATATTGGAGCTGACCTGATTGCATGTTTTTTTTTTTTCAATTATTTTATTTTATTTTTCTTTCTTTTTTTAGTTTTTTTCTCTTGTCTTGTTTTTGCTTTTATTTATTATTTAATTGTGAGTTGAATTGTGATGAGCAAAAAAAAATAAAAAAAAAATTGATAAGATTTTTCAATATATTTTCATGATGTTTTAGGAATTTAGCTTTTTTGCATGATATTTATTTTTGCATGAATTTAGTATATTTGCCTGACTAATATCTAATATTTGCATGATTATTATTATTTGCATGATATTACTATATTTATAATTACATATTTATTAATATATTTGCATGATTATTTATAATTGTATGTTTATTAATATCATTGTCTGATTATTAATATATTTATTTGTATGGTTCATTAATTGCATAATTATTAATATATTTATTATTATGTATTTGCATGACAATTTTTGGCATGATTTTTTATTTATTGCATGATTTACTGCATGATATGATTTTATATTTATTGCATTATATGATTTTATATTATCGCATGATTTATTGCACGGTGTGATATTTTATTTAATGATGTTTTTGGCATGATATTTTTGATTATTGCATGATTACATGATTTGATTTTTGATAAAATTTTTGTATTATTATGTTGTGTAAATAAATAAAAAAAATTGGAATTGATAATTTGCATAATAAAAACCATCTTTGACTAAAGCTTAGATAAGATAACACACAATTAATTCGGTATTTATTTTGGACATAAGGGGGTGATAATACCTTCATTTCATGTAATCGACTCTCGAACTTAGTTTTGTTATTATAGACCAGAACCTATTCTTTTTAGAGACTCTTAGTTTAGGTTTAGAATAATCTTTAAAAAAAAAGATTCATGTAGGTGACCAATCATATTTAAGTAAAAAAATTGATGGTGATTTCATAATTTTGTGTCTAATGCTTAGATTATCGAATCTAAATATTATGACAATAATGTTTATTATTAAAATATTTATATTTTATATTGAAAGTATCTGTTACTAAATCATAACAAAAATCTTGTTTATTTATATTTATTATTAAAATAATAATATAAATACCTTAATAAATAAAATATAAAATTATATACTTTAAACTTAAAAATAATAAAAAAATTATTAAAAATATTCATCTTAAGAAAATAATATTATTATATTATTTAACATTAATTATTAAAATAATAAAATATTATATATGTTATTATTTATTATTAAAATAATAATACAATATTATTTATTAATGAAATAATAAAAATATTTATGTTTAATAATATGCAAATTAAATATTTAAATTAAACTATGAAAGACTTTTAATGTTAATATTTTAATTTTTTAGTTAAAATTAAATAAAATATTCTTATTTATATAATAATATTTTAAGTTGAAATAAATCAAGTTTGAATTTAAAGTATTATGTTTAAAGTCTACTTTAGTAAAATTATAAAAATATTTAAAATTAAAATATTAAAAGACTTTTAATATTAATATTTTAATTTTTCAAGTAAAATTAAATAAAAATATTATTTATTAATGTAATAATATTTTAGTTCAGGTTAAATTAAGTTGGAACTTAAAAAAATTGTGTATAAGGTCCGATTTAAGTAAAATTATATTCAAATATATTGATAAGTAATTTTACTCATAGATTTTTTTTTTTTTTAAATTGTTTTCCTCTTTTCAAAAGGGTAAGGCAATTTCTAGAAAATTTACCTTATTTTCTATTGAAAAATAAGTCCTTTTCTATTGACCAAAAATTTTTTTGTTAAATAACCACATGAATGTAGAAATTATTTTCTCAAAGTCAATTAGGCTACACAAACAGAGCCTTTTAATATGAATGTAGCTACACCAAATTAATTCTTAGATCATGCCGTTGGCCTTAATGATATGTTTCTCAATATTATAATCATTTGTATCTATTCAGTATTGCACCAATTCCATCATCAATGTCATATCTCTTAAAAATTGCGATCTAGTTCTTCTAACAATAGGAGTCTTCATCATAACTATCATGATTTTTTATAATGAATACGAGAAAAATTCATGAATTAATGAGCCAACACAAGTTTCATAATTATTAAAACTCATATTATTCTTGAATAAATTTGTCCCTCTAAAGTTAATAAAGGAAATAAAAATAATTTTAAAAAATGTTTCCTTTAAAAATTTAACTCTATTCTTTTGGAAATTATGGAGGCATTCGAATGCTCTTAAGAAGGCATTCGAATGCTTACTTTCTGTTTCAAAAATTAAATGAAGCATTCAAGGGCCTTAGGTGGAACATTCTAATGCTTTCTTTCTATTTCAAAATGATGGACGAGGCATTCGATTGACCTTGAAAGGCATTTGAATGCCCATTCTAAAAATCGAAAGAGAAGATCTAAATCATAAAATAATAATGGCATTCCATTGTTTGACAAAGAATCATAACACAACATCAATTTATGTAAAACAACCAAATTGTATGAACTCTTATGGATTTTCACTAGCATTCAAGAACTTATGAACAAATTTTTGACGGTTTTATGAAGACAAACATAAACCGGCCAAAACTCGAGCCTTAAAGGCCTTGATATCAATGATGGGTAATATGAGCATAGTTATATATGGAAATGCAAAAGACTTATTTGATTTGTGCAAGTGTTACTAAGCTTGAATCATTGATTGGTGAACAAAATACGAAACTGAAAATTGTTCATTTTCATCATGTAAATTCTTCACATACCAAAAGCAGAAAATCCTCAGAGTTTTGTTTTTCACTGCCGAACGCTACCTTTTTCCTTGTCTAGAAATGATTTTTCATCACTTTCGTCTTATATTGAATAGTGGTCAAATGCCACAATATATAAGAAGAAAAAGACATGGCGGTTGGCATGGTTTGAATTTCAAACCAAAAAGCCAACCGCCTCCTGACAGTTTCATTACAAGAAAATTGCCGATCGGCAGTGTTTATCTTGGTCTAAATCCAAGATAACTTCGACTGCTTAATAGCAGTTATGTTGTGGATCGGGTTCCTCCCAAAATGGGCGGACCGTTCCAATAAATTTAGATAATTAAAAATAATGAATATTCCTCATTGAATAAATGCGATGACCCAAAAAGTTGTAAGTTATCTAAAGAATTTTTCTTTTTGTTTATAATAAAAATTTGCTTGTTAGATGGATCCACATGCTGCAAAAGAAATCTTGCCTTTTTAAAAACTTTATTTTTCTTATCAAATCTACTTTTCCTAATTAAAAGAAAAAAAAATCTTCTTCCAACAAAGAATTCAAAATCTAACATAGCATAATTTTTCACAAAATTTTCATTTTCTTACATTCTCATAAACTCCAAAGCTTCAGAATGTGATGGTGTTAGAGATTCGGTTTCTTTTCATGATCCATTTAAATAAATTTCTTCATCGTCCGAAAATTCATTTGTGTAAATGTTTCTTTTTGTAAAATGAGACATTTTAACATCCATTTTGTTATTAAATTATCATTTGTAAGAAGTAAATAAATAAATAAAATAACGACAAATAACAATCAATTAACTTATAGAAAAATAAAAAAAAAATCCAATTCAAAAACTGAAATATGGAACATTGGATCAAAAGTTACCTCCACAGTAAAGAGTAATAAAAGTCCATGCTTCAAAATTTTAACTTTATGTTCATGAAAAAAAATTACTGATCTGTTTTTGGATAAAGAACATATAAGTAAGTGATCTTTGGAGGAAAAAAAAAAAAAGAGAGGGAAAAAGCAACTAAGGCTATTATAGTCACTTAAAAATTTTGGAAATTTGAACCTACAATTTAACTTAATTAGTTTATGCAGCATCTTTTAACAGGTGATATTTAGTAGATATGATTAATAAAACAAATGTCTAAATAAATTAATCTTTCAATAAGCATATTTTTGCTCACATTGTAATTCATTTTATATATTTTTCTCACAATTGGACAAATTTTTCTCTTTGATTTACATAAGAGGTTTTTTAGTGTAAATTTACATCTCTTTTCACTACTGTAAAGCTAATTAATCGAGGATTGCAGAGTTTTGAAATCATGTGTTGTGTTGCTTTTCAACTCTCATCAATTGAGTTAATTGGATTTGGAGGTATGGAAAAATCCTAGAAATGTTTTTCATTTTGCTTCAACTATTTTGTAAGGTCAGTCTAAAAATAGTAAAAGTTGCATCTTAGTTTCGTTTGTCCCTCCAAATGTCAGGGCTTTTAGATGTTGTAGGAGATGAACAAGTCACCTTTTGAATTACAAAGAGAAACAATATAGGAGAGAATTGTGCTCCTGGCTCTAAACTTCTTTAGGCAAGAAATTAAAACTCATAGTCAAAATGTTGTCAATGAACAAGATTAATGCGGGGATTTCTTATTTTAAACATAGTAATGCAAAGATCAATTGCCAATTCATCATTTCATTTGTCACAAACTCCATGCATGCTGATTGTATGGTTTACTTGTGACTCTCAGTGACCTGACCATAACATTTACCCCACAAAATTTGCTAAAGGAAAAATGTATGACACAAAATTTTGAATCTTATTTTGTTGGGATTGAGAAGAAAATGGAAGTCTTTGGTTCATTTTCTTTTTTCGCTTCCCTTTATTGAAACAAAAGGAAAGGGAAAAAAAACACTGTAAGATTCATACAATCTGTTCATTACACAGTTCTTTGCACTATTTTTTATTTTAATTAGTTCTCTGCATCATCGAACCACGTTGGTCTGACATTTTCCATTTAAGGTATTCACATTTCTTGCATACAGCTGTAATCAGATTCTAGTGATCAGTGTAAACATAGCATGTTAATAACGTGTAAAAGAAGTTGCTCACTATGAACAAAGAGCAAAGCGGTGTCCTAAGGGCATGGGAAGCCACCGTACGCAAAACACAAGCAGCAAAAAAGCGCGCAAATAACATTTTCGGGACAATATCTATGGCAAATGTAGCAGACGTTGATCCTGAAGATGATAATGATAAAAGCGTAGGCATATCTGGGGAGGCATACTTCACAGAGAAAATTCTTCCTAATGGAGATTATTACACAGGACAGTGGTATGATAATTTTCCTAATGGACAAGGGAAATATTTATGGACCGACGGTTGCATGTTCTTAGGAGAGTGGCATAAGGGCAAGACAATGGGAAGGGGAAGGTTTAGTTGGCCCTCTGGTGCTATTTATGAAGGAGACTTCAAAAGCGGATATATGGATGGGACTGGAATATATACTGGACCCAGTGGGGATACTTATAAGGGACAATGGCTGATGAACTTGAAACATGGTCATGGCATAAAGCATTATTCAAATGGAGATTGGTATGATGGAGAATGGCGCCGAGGTTTGCAAGAAGGACATGGAAAATATCAATGGAAGAATGAGAACCATTATGTAGGACAGTGGAAGAATGGTGTGATTTGTAGCCAGGGGACTTTTACTTGGAGTAACGGAAATAAGTATGATGGCTATTGGGAAGATGGTATGCCAAAAGGAAATGGAAAATATCAATGGCCTGATGGCAGTTTCTATGTAGGGAATTGGAGTAAGGATCCAGATGAACAAAATGGGACATATTACCCTTCAGAGTCCTCCATGGCTGCAAATCTTGAATGGGACCCTAAAACCGTGTATAACGAGTTGGCTGACTGCAAGATTTGTCCTGGAGAAAGGGTTTCGATTATGCCATCACAAAAGAAACTGGCAATATGGTATTCAACAAAGGGTGGAGACAAAGTGAGGAGAAAGTCAGTTGATGGGAGGGTAAGCGTAGGCATAGAGAGGCCATTTGATAAAATGAACATGTGGGAAAGTGATGGTGATATCAATGATTCCGGAGAAGTGAGGAGAGATTTGGATTGTGAGTTGTTAGGTGTACACCATTACGATGCAAACCCTAAGTTTAACCTCAGATTGCCATTGAAAGCGCCAAAGCCAGGAAAAAGACAAGGAGAAACAATATGTAAAGGGCATAAGAACTATGAACTTATGCTCAATCTGCAATTGGGAATCAGGTGGCATTCTTTATATTCAGTATTCTAATTTTTTAACTTTTGTTTCTCGTCTTCAACCATATTAGATGTTTAAAAGGTTAATGTTACTAATGGTTCGTAAATTATAGTAAAATATTTAATTTGATATTTTAATTTTAAAAATCTTTAATGTGGTATCTAATCGATATAAATGTTAGAGTGTTCTTATCATTTCAATCTTCACAAGCCTTGACACCAGCCCATTTCAAACTTCTCAAAGTAGTCAAAAGTAACTAAGAAGTAGTTGCCAGAAATTTTTCTTAGGGATGAAACCGCTTACCCCTCTTTGCGTATAAGATTTGATACCTCACCTGTATCCTTTCGTTCCTTACATCTACCCACTATGCTTTTTTATAACCAATGTAGATTCTCTTCGTCCACCCAACCTAAGCATTGCTTCACACCTTTTTTCTCATCTGATAAACACTGGTTCTCAGCGTCTTTGGAGGATGAATCCTTCTCACATTGCGGGGAGATGAGTTACTGCTGTTTTTGCCTTCCATCAGAACCTGAAGATAGAATCTCTTACTAGTATCACTATTACCTTCCTTACTTTTATCGGAAGCTCTCTGGATACCTCTCTATTCTTCCCGTACTCCACCATCCGCGCCTTTGCTTACTGAGATTTTCCAATAGGATCTTCTAGGGTTAAACCTAGCAAGGTTTACATCGACCCACTTATCCAATAAACGTATTCCATCGGGATTCCATACCGCCCTTTTTGCTTCCGACAATGTTGCAAACCACACAAAGCCTATTCTTTTTCCATTTCTGCTTCTTGAATAAAACACCCACCACTTTACCATACTTCCCACATATAACCATTTCCAATGCAACCTCTGAGGAAGGTTATCCACGAAGATTGTATACACCGTCTTCTCCATCTTTAAAAAAAAAAAAAAAAACCTGGTTTACGTGAGAGGAAGGATGAGTCAATAGGAAAAAAAAAACACTAATTTGAGTTGAGATCTTGCCTTTTACAATGGATTATTCATGTGTTATTTACTTGTTATTATAGACTTAATAGCGATATTCAGAAGATTGGTAATTAGACGAAGATCATAATCTATCTATCTATATTCCCAATCTTTTTTTTTTTTTCTCTAACTTTTGCTAGATTCTCAAAATTAGATCATCTAATAATTGTGTGCTCAATGTGATATGACATTTGTGACTTATTATCAGTGTTTGAAGTGATTACACAGACATTCTGTAGGAAGACCTGCTCCAGCCACAGCTCTTGATCTTAAGGCTTCGGCTTTTGACCCCAAGGAGAAAATTTGGACTAGATTTCCTCCAGAAGGCAGCAAATACACTCCACCTCATCAATCTTGTGAATTTAAATGGAAGGATTACTGTCCTGTAGTTTTCAGGTGAGGCATTTTACATATAAATTAGTTATATGTGATTCGTATTCCTTTTAGTGCAGAAAGGTGTTATAATTTCTTACCAACATCACAACATGCAACATGAAACTTTTAAGCATACTTAGTTTGCAGATAACTTTAAAATGATTACATCATGAGGCTAATAGTTCGCAAATAACTTTAAAAAGATTATATCATGAGGCTAACAAAACACAAAAAATTGCGAAGTATTTTATTTCCTTAAGATACAAGGAATACTATTTTCCTTTAAAGCTAAAGAAATTGTGTAAACATGGTGATTTTTTACAGGCAAATACGAAAATCAGATCTAGTTTCTTTTCCTACCTCTCTTGATGACAACAATTGCTCTAGCTATTCAAATTCTCATGTAAGAATTCTAAGTTGATGCATATTCAGTAACTCCAAATCATTATTTGTCTAAAGGACTTTGAGGAAGTTGTTCGAGGTGGACGCTGCAGATTACATGATATCTATTTGTGGAAACGATGCACTCAGGGAACTATCTTCCCCCGGAAAAAGTGGTAGCTTCTTTTACTTGACCGATGATGATCGATACATGATAAAGACAATGAAGAAGTCAGAAGTGAAAGTGAGTTATGTACCATCATAATCATTGTAGTTTGAAAGTAATGCTGATTGTTGCAAATCCAAGTTAATAGCTTCTTTGGGTTTATTTTATAGGTGCTTTTAAGGATGCTTTCAGCCTACTATAACCATGTCCGATCCTTTGAGAACACTTTGGTGATAAAATATTATGGTTTGCATTGTGTAAAGTTAATTGGGCCTACTCAAAGAAAGGTTAGTAAACAACATTGTCATACACTATTTCTGCTAGAAATGTGTCCATGGTGAAAAAGGTGAGAATTTTTTCTATAATTTTAACTCATTTAAAGAAAGTTGCATCAATTGATGTTTTAAGTTTCAAGTGTTGTAAGAAATGAATTATAATAGTTTTACAAAGATGCAAATAATGGGCTTGACAATCCAGGTACGGTTCATTATTATGGGAAATCTTTTACGCTCTGAGTATATAATTCATAGACGTTTTGACTTGAAAGGATCTTCTCTAGGACGCATAACAGAGAAGCCTGAGTCTGAGATTAAGGATACCACAATTCTGAAGGACCTTGATTTGAATTTCATATTCAAACTACAAAAAGCTTGGTTTCAAGAGTTTTGTAGGTGAAATGCAGTTCTTCCTTTTGGCTTTCTATATGCTTTGTTCTACTTTGTAGTGCTCTAAAGTTTTGTATTTTTTCTTTTAATATTTCTTCATCAATTGCATTGAATATTTATATATGTTTCTTCTTACAGGCAAATAGACAGGGATTGCGAGTTTCTTGAACGAGTGAGAACTATGGACTATAGTCTTCTAGTGGGTCTTCACTTTAAAGATATATCGCCAAATGGAGAGCTAATTCCTTGCGGAAGACGAACTCCATCTGGTTATCTTTCATCCTTTCTTTTTTCTTTTTAGGATTTTATAGCCCTACTTAAGATTAATTAAGGGTATACTTCTACCTTGCAAACTCTTTATTTTGATTAAAAAGTTTTGTTTTCTCCATTACAGGCAATTCTGAGAATGAATCAACTCCTCATCTTTCTAGAACAGATACAGATCAACTTCTTGTAGACCCTGAGAGGTGAAATATCGCCATATATAATCTTGGTTTTTTATTTCAATCATATAGTATTTAAATTAAACCCACTTGTAGACTGTAGATCAAAAGTTCGTGATCTCTATATTAGCTTTTCCTTGAATATTATAACAAGTAAAAGATTTTTCCTAAGATACAAAGAATATTTTAATCTTACCATGCATTCAAACACAAGTCATTCCAAGCATATGTTTTATTAGCAACAAGGGTGCTTTAGAATTTGTTGCAATATAAAATTTCAAGAAAGGAATGGAAGAAATTCTTTTAAAACTCTGCCAATAGGTAGATCATGCTAAATTCTTAATTCTAGTAATCAGATTCAATCTCTAACAATCTCAAATATCAAAAACAAAATTTTTATTAGCAAAACTACTTACATTTTTTGTATCCCTTCTCTATCCCTTTTGCTAGTGAAGGAAAGAAATGTACCAAAAGATAGCTCACATTTCAATTTCAAAGAAAGTTTTTTTACCTAAATTTGTTGATAACTGTAATGATAGTAGCTTCAAAAAATTGAAGATTATTTGATACCAAACTTTATGAGACTTGAACTTAAGCCTTCATTTTTGACAAATCAGGCCTTGAACTTAAGCTGTATTAATTTCATCATAGTTTTAATTGATCATTTAATTTGAAGAAGCATAATAATCCTTCTTTTCAAGGTTTTTCAAAATACAGAGAATTACATTTCTCGTAAAAACTACTTCAAAATTATTCTGAACAATTAATTTAACCACTTTGTGGTTTGTACTCCTGTCACCCAGCACAACAATGAATTCCACAATCCTTGTCATTGGATAGAGAAAGAAAGATTTTCCATATTAAAATTAAGAACTAAATGAGCATTGCAGGTGGGCTAGCATCAAGCTTGAAGCCAACATGCCAGCAAGAGTAGAAAGAACTATAAGAAGACCCGAGTGTGAATTACAGCTTGTGGGACGACATACAGGGGAGTGTTACGAAGTGGTAATGTTCTTTGGCATCATTGACATACTTCAAGATTATGACATTACCAAGAAGCTTGAGCATGCCTATAAATCCATCCATTATGACCCTACTTCAATATCGGCTGTGGATCCAAAGCAATACTCCAAGAGATTTCGCGATTTCATATTTAAAGTTTTTGTTGAAGATACTTAGCAAGTTTCAATTTTGAAGACGGGTCATTACAGAGTCTTCCATGAGTTTGTATATGGAGCTAGCTCTCTACGCTCTATTTTTTAAGGTATGTTCCAATTATCACGAACATTTGTTGTAGCCATTGTTATCAATATCATGTCATGTAATTGAATTAGCACGTACCAATTAGTGGTGTTTGAATTTTTTTTTTCCAAGTTTTCATTGTGTTTAAGTGAACAAGTAGAATATGTTGTAGCCAGGAAGAGTTCAAGCAAGTTTCAAACGCAAACTTGTCCTTTTGCCAGTTGATTCTTTTATCTATTAAAAATACAGAAAAATTCCAAGGATTTTTTCCATCTGTCTTGGCTTTAATTTATGGGACCAAAGATGTTTAAGTAATCCAAATGAATTGTACTAATATAGTATTTATATTTGATAAATATTATTAAATTATGTGCCTATCATATATACTATCAATATCTTTTTTGGATATAAATTAAAAATATATAATTTGTACTTAAATCATAAAAATTATCTAAAATTGATCAATTATTATTTATCACGTGACACCCATATGACATCCACATAAAACTTTTACAAAATATTTAATATTTTTATTTGACAAATGAGATATATATATAATAAAATTATATTAATTAGATAATATATAAGTAAGTTAAGTTAATAGTATTAGAATTTAAATTAAAACAACATATTATTTAAAAGTTCAGAAGCAAATTGTACATATATATTTTTAATTACCAATTTACACAATTTCTCAAAATTCAAGTTTAGATACCTAACTTAATCCAAAGTCTTTTGAATTCCAAAACTTGTAAGTTATCCATTAATAAGAATTTGGGCTTTAAATTGATCCATATAAGGTTGAATTGCTATTAGGTTTTAAGCCCTATCATTTTGGACCCTAATGAGCTAAGTGTTAGATTTTAGTTTTGAAGCAAACTAGAGCGGAATGTCCTTTACCATATATGCCCATGTTTCTTTTCATTTCACCGTTTTTAGAAAAATTCTATTTATACCTTATTTATTACTATACATACTCTACTCCTAAATACACTCCAAGTTAAAAACTCAGCTTCCTATTTCTATTAAATTCATCCCCACCTCTCATTTTTTATTTTCCATTCATACCCTTTGACTTTTCAGTTTTAAAAAAAAAAAACCTAAATCTAACAAATTAATCTCAAATCACTTATGTTTATGAGTTTTCTAGTGATTAAAGGTAAATTCATACCTTGTTTTCGATTGATTTTAATAGAATTGTGGTTGAAATGCATGTGAATATAGGTTAGGGTTTAAGATAATGTTTAGGTAAATTGAGCCTCTAAAAAATGGGTTTGCAATAGGATTTAGTTGAAATTGAGCTTATGGGAAATAGATATATAAGAAGTTTTAAATTTTCTCAAAAATGGATTTTCGAGAAGCTTAAAAGATATATTTTTAATAAAATAAATAAAAGCCTAAGAAACAAAAATAGATGATAAGAATTAAAATTTAATAGCCTTTTCTCATAAAACATTTAATAAATCTAATAACAAAACCCCTTTAAAAAAATGAATGACATTTTTTAGTACACTTGCATAAGAAATATTTTTTTAAGAATTTTGCTCGGGTTAATAGACAAAACCCAAAAAAATTCTTTTCAATATCTAAATATTGAAATTTAATAATAAAATGACCATTCAATCTAGACCTTTTTTGGATAATTTGACATTAACTAGTACTATCTTTAGGATAGGCATTACAAGATGATATAACATTCCCCACCAAACTTTTGAACCTAATTCTGATTAGAAGATTAGTATCTAATCTTTTAGGGACTTTTAGTCATGCTTTGAAGACAACTTTTAAAAGATAGGTTCACCTAGATGATCAATCACACTTAGCTAAAAAATAATTGGTGGCCACTTCTACTTATGTCTAGCGATCAAGTTCATGAACATGTATGTTATAACAATTTGGCAATTCCATTAGAGACATTCAAGAGCTAAGCCATTAAATAATTTTAGATTATCTTAAATTTTGGATGAACAGTCTTGTATTTTTATTTTGAATTAATTGTGATTTTGGTACTTTTATTTATTTTCTAATTATGAGGTATTTTTTTAAATTTGGTTCCTTTACACACACTATCACATGCAAGTGTATAACATAAGTCCTATATTTGGGTTATGTCCTTGTTAGAAAGGTGTAAAGTACTTATGCTCTCATGAGATGATAATATTTACAATAGCTAGCGAAATACTCCTACTCAAAATGAACAATTTTCGTTTATTGTCTTATGATGGCTAAGGATTAGGGTGGCTTATTGATCCATTATAAATGATAGTAAGGAATAATTTGGAAACTTTTAATTTGATTAGGATAACCTAGCCCTACGTATAGAAGACACTTAAGAAGCCAACCTTATGCTAGAACCATGTCCACTAATTATTTAGAACCTGACTCAAATTAAGTCACATGAAGAAACCATTCTAGCTTCATTTGTATCAATTCTTTGGTAAATTTGAAAAAAAAAATCAAAAATAATAAAATAAAAAGGGAAAATTGTGATTATTTAGTCTTTTATGGATAATTGTTATATGACAAACATTCAATGCATGCGTTCATTCATACATGTAGAAAAACTTATCTAAAGATTACATGAACAACTAGCAGTACATTATTCTGATTTTAAATGATAGTAATAAAGTTCAAGGCTAGCTCGATCATGAAAAAAAAAAAAAACTTTAATTGAGCATATTTGCCACTCATTCAAGGCTCTTGCCCAAGTGAAGATCATGCAACAAGAACAAGTTTACTAAGTTTAGAAAGATAAGAAAATCTAAGAAGAGATAAAAGGAGAGTTAGCAAAGATAATGGATATAATAAAAAATTTTGAATATACATATACCATTTTGAGGTGGAGTGTTGACAATTGTAAACTAATTAACCTTTAGGAATTAATTATGCTTTTCCTCTTTGACTTTGGTAGAATTATTATCTTTTTTTAAGAAGTCAATTATGGATTAATTTGTTTCCAGATTTGAATTAACTTGAATTAGTCCTAATATTTAGGATTTAATTTAGCTTTTAATTTAGGAATCTACTATTGTATATATTTTTTATTCTCTTTAATAAAGAAGATGCAATCCTTTATTGTATTTTTTTCTTTGGAAATCCTTGGTTAGACTTCTTAATAGAGAAGTATTGGCCTTGTATCTCTCTTATTTCTTTCGTTTTTCCCTCTAACTTAATGCTGGAATGGATCAGATTTCAAGATCTTTAGTGGTATTTTTAAAATTTGAACTATAAGTTAAAGAGATGCTATAGCCATATGTTACGTGCTCTGACTTTTTATTTTCCTTGAAGTACTCGATTCCTACACATATCCTAGGGACAAGGTGTATAGTGGTCTAACCATCCAAATATATGAGAAACCTTAAGAAAAAATTGAATATACTAGTGTCAAACTCATAACTATATATACTTACTCCCAAGTCTAAGCAACATAGGTCATACGGTCTCTTCCTACTTGTCTAAAAGTTATTATGTGTTAAAATTATCAATCCTTTTGGGGTGTGGTTTTTTATCCTCTTAAAGCAACATTTTGATAACCTAGTAGCTTATTTGTTCATCCTTTAGTTATCTTCTGAAACTTATTGTTTTCATTTTTGTTAAAACACAAAACTTTTCTTGTTTATCATTTAGATGCATCAGACAAATGCTTTCTTATCTTAGATAATGAAAACGTAAAAGTATAATTGCTGCATTGTTAATAAATTAAAGATACAACTAAAATTGGTTTATAATCTAGTTAAGCTTACTTGATTTCTCTTATTGTTTTCTTTTGTTGAATTATTACAATAAATTTTGGGCCATCTTCTTGTCCTTCATTTAGTCATATAGAGTTTTTATGTGGTATTTTTCTTTATTTTGTTTTTGGGTTAGACAAATTTGTTTTCTTTAGTTTCATGGCTTGTTTGCCAGTTATAAGCTGGGCTTTTTTGTTAATAGTACATAAGGAATTTTGAAAAATTTTTTGTCTTCATTTTTTCCTTGACAGTGTTGAGTTTTAAATCAATGAAATTCTGGAGGTAAGGATTTAAAATTTTTTCATATCAACAATTAGCGTTACCTAAAAAGTAGTTGTCATTTGGCCAAAAGCCTATTTTTTATTTAGGCTTAGTTTTGTAAAAGGCTTTTGGAAAAAAAGATCATATAATGGAGGGGAGATTTAGATGTTAGTAGACAATCAATGGCATTTTTTACTTTTGGGCTGACCTGACATGTCAGGTTAGCCTAACATGTAGAACCATGTTAGCTTAGCCATGACACCAATTTACCCTGTAGATCCCTTACCTTTCATCTATAAATAGGGCCATCCAGGTATAATCTAATCATCTTACTTTCTTTTATTCTCCCTATTTTAAGTTCTTTTTAATCTCCTATAGCCAATCTCTGACTTGAGTGTTAGAGTGCAAACATAAAGAACACTCATTATCATTGCCCTTAACCTTTCTCTTTTTCTCTTTTGTGATTTTAGGGTTTTATCCTTCAGGATAGAGCTTGGCACAAACATTTGGCATGCCAATAGGGACATATTCATTCTTTAGGTGAGCTAAATAATATGCTATGCAAAAAGAGAGTTCTTGAGGAATAAGAGTCAACTGTTCCTACTGGAATTGAGACCCATGCCAGCCAACCTATAAATTGACCTATGCTTATGCAAGCAGAACTAACCATGGAATAATTTCAAGCCCTAAATAACAAAATCTAGTCTTTTAAACAACTATTTCGAAGTATAAATCCAATACAAACTTCCAAAGTACTTGATGTAGTTACCTTGGTAAATAACTAGCAAAAAAATAGCCAAGCTATAAAGATGTTGAAGCTTTTTTAGCCTTAAAATAAGAACATACCACTCTAGCCACCCGTCACCATTACCCCAACCATAACTTAATTCATGCCAACACCCATAAATCCAAATAGATTGACTTGGAACCCCAAATGGAGACCTG